TCATCACTTTTCACATGTTAGTGGTTTAGGCTTAAAATTAATTCAGATTGCTTGCAAAATATTTTTGAATTAAAGAGAAAAGGTACCTAGACGTTAGATTTATTTAGCGTAATCAAGTCACCGTATCCATGAAATCTCTGGTTCGCAAAGTAAGATGTCCTCCCCATGACCAAAAAAAAAGGTAAGATGTCCTCTCACATTTTATTTGGGTTTCTAATCGACCTGTAATAAATTAGTGGCGATTCCTAAATTAGTGGTAATAAACTGATTTCTAATCGACCTGTAATCGTTTGGACCAAAAAGAAATAGAAAGGTGTGAATGGTTTTTGTGGATTCCAACGCGTCTAAATTAACAGAATCATCAGCACTGTTAAATTTTTTAATTGAAAGAGTGCCGTACACAACTTTTGGAAATAATTGAGAATATGTTGAACGATGAAAAAAATTTCAAAGTCCTTTTACTTTAACATAATAATAATCCAAAATGTTCTTCCAGAATCTTTTGCTCTTATCGGCTTTGCAAAACTTTACAGATCATGAAGAAGAGGATGCCTTGTTCTTTGTCCTTTGTCGGGGTCATTCATATAGTTTCTATGGAAGATCACTTCGTCATTTTCTATCGTTTAGTCTGGGATGACCGAGACGAAGACCGACGCCTTCGAAACAACCCCGAACTGCGTTATTCTTCAACTTCTTCTACAAACTATTTAACTCGCACCAACCCCAGAAAAAAGGTCAAATTAGAAACCTTCCTGGAAAGAAGTTCTTTTTCTCTCTCACAAATTGAAGTTCGACAGCAATGGAGGACGTGATGCATACAGTCAAATCGGCTGGGCCAGCCACTCACCATGGTTTTGATTTTATAAAACGACGTCATTTTGGACTACATTACAAACTTGTTAATAGATTCTTTAGCTCTACATTGATAGAGAGCCAATATTGGTGGTGCTTTCTACTAGTTATTATATAGGGAAAATTTCAATTAAGGACCCAAAGTGAGTTTTTTTTCTAAAAAAAGGACTCCAAGTGGATAATGTCTCAATTAAGGACCCAAAGTGCCCAAACCAGTCTCAAATAAGGACTCTAGCTCGCCGGCGGGCCAAATGTTCGCTGGCAAGCGAGCATGAGACATTTCCGGCGCTGGAATAGGGGCAATTTTGTCTTTTTCTTTTCTTTCTTTTTTTCTTTTTCCTTTTTTCTTTTTCTCTCTTCCCTCTTGTGGCCATCGTCGGCGACGTCCACCGGCCTCAGGCGACGGCCGTCTTTGCCGGCGTTGGGCGACGGCCGCCCTTGCCCTCGCCAAATTTGGCGACGACCGCCCTTGGCCTCGTCGGATTGGGCAAGGGCGAGGGTTGGCCTCGCTGGATTGGGCGAGGACGAGGGTTGCCCTTGCCGGATCTGGCAAGGGTGACCCTCGCCCGACGCCGGCGAGGCCGAGGGCGGCCCTCGCCAGCCCAAGCAAGGGCAAATCTCGCCGGCCCAAATCTGGCGAGGGCCACCCTTGGCCTTGCCAGCCCAAGCGAGGGTTGCCCTCGCCGGCGTCGGGTGAGCCACCTCGCTTGGGCTGGCAAGGCACCTCGGCTGGGTTGGCGAGGCTTACGGCGAGCGCCGCCCTCAGCCTCGCCGACATCGAGCGAGGGTCGTCCTCACCAGATTCGGCGAGGGCGTTCCTCGCCAGATCCGGCGAGGGTGGCTCTCGCCCGCCACCAGCGAGGGCCACCCTCGCTCGCCCAGGCGAGGGCGGCCGTCGCCCGACGCTGGCGAAGGCGGCCCTCGCCTGAGGCTGGCAGACGTCGCCGGCGATGGCCACAAGAGGGAAGAGAGAAAACGAAAAAAGGAAAAAGAAAAAAAAGAAAGGAAAAGAAAAGAAAAAGACAAAATTGCCCCCATTCCGGCGCCGGAAATGTCTCACGCTCGCCGACCAGTTAGCTGGGGTCCTTATTTGAGACTGGTTTGGGCACTTTGGATCCTTAATTTAGACATTGTCCACTTGGGGTCCTTTTTTGAGAAAAGAGACCCACTTTGGGTCCTTAATTGAAATTTTCCCTATTATATATCTCAATTCCCCAGGAGAGTCGTATGCTCAATCAGCCAAAATGTGTGAAGGTCCCCCTTGTCGGACATTGCTTGACATAAGCAAGTGTGTCTACTTATTAAAGCAAATTTTTATATAACTACGGGATACAACACCGTTCATTATGTGCAAGAAAATGTCCCTTGGACCGCTTTTAATTGCTCAATAACGTTCCTTAACTTTGTTTCTAAGTTTAGTCTTTCAGCTAATTAAAATAGGTTCCATATGCTTCCATTAATTGTAACCCCATATCACGTGGCTCTTTTCAATGTGGATTGCTACTTCAGCTATGATTGGAGAAAATGACATGGCTCGGCATTTCACGTCCTTCTATCTAAGATTTCATTTATTTCGTGAAAAATAAATAATTTAAAAAACATTTACTAAAAATAATCGTTTGTATCGCTTGAAATAATTAGTTAATGAAAAATGTTTCATTATCGACAGCAATCTATAACTTAACATTTTCGTTGACAAAGAAAATACTTTTCATTCATTTTTTTGGTAAGCGATACAAACGATCATTTTTAAGAAAGTATTTTCCAAATAATTTATTTTCCGTGAAATAAACGGAGCTTAAGTCAGCAAAAATTTTCTCATTCTTTTTTCCTGTTCTCCATTTTTTATCATCTGTTGTCGCTATCCATGACCACCATTACCACCGTTATGTAGTACCGAGATCATTTGGTGGACACATGATTTGCGACCACAACAGCTCATGTAAATCTCTCTCTCTCTCTCTCTCTCTCTCTCTCTCTCTCTCTCTCTCTCTCTCTCTCTCTCTCTCTCTCTCTCTCTCTCTCTCTCTCTCTCTCTCTCTCTCTCTCTCAATTTCGAAACATGGTCTCAAACTTGAGGTCATCGCAATCTCAGATAGGAGATCACGAGTGTCCCAACTTTCAATCTGAGGTTGGAAGGGCCTCAAATTTGACTGAGAGAGAGATGGGTCGTTGCCAAGTTGGCAATTCCGAGGTCTAGCTGAACAATGGTTGCGATGTTCAACCGCAACACTGAATGGCAGGCCACGGAAATGAGTGGCGTTCGACTAAGGTGGCCATGAATAGTAATAGTAGCACGACACTTTTGTTTCTAATAGAGAGAGAGAGAGAGAGAGAGAGAGAGAGAGAGAGAGAGAGAGAGAGAGAGAGAGAGAGAGAGAGAGAGGAGTGTAAGGTGGATCAAATAAAAAGAGAGGTGTGATGTGGACTCCATGTGGATTTTGTTGGGGAAATTTGATTGTTGATGAAGATAGAGTAGTAGTTTATAGTTTTTTGATGCTTTGATGCTTGATAATGATGATTGTCCTTAAGGATTATTTGCCTCCACTATTGTTGTTGCCGGGTTTATAACAAATATACCTCCAAGATATAAACCAAAGCCACAGAGAAATGAGTTTAACAATTACTCAATTTCTGTCTTAAAATTTCACTTTGAATATATTATCAAACTTGGGAAAAGTCTCAAAAAAGTCATAAAACTTTTGCATTGGTGCCAATTGAGTCTTAAACCTTTTGTCTTTATGCTAATTTAGTTCTTCCAGCTAATTTTGGCCAGATTTTGCTAACATGGAAGCCGGCCAACCGGAGATCAATCGCCTGCGCTAACGTAAATAACTTTTAATAATATTTTAATATTTTTTTGAATTTTTACTTTTTTATTTTATTTTATTTTTCTTCTCCCATCCTCCCTCCTCCAACCGGTCGTCGAACCGGCGACCGGCCAGAGGCTAGAGGCCAGCCACTGGCGAGGCTCGCCCTCACCAACAACGGCAAAGGCGAGCCTCGCCATGGCTGGGCAAGGCTGGATCTTGCCAGATTCGGCAAGGTTGTGCCTCGCCCAATCGCCGGCGAGGCTCCAGCCCTTGCCAAAGGACGCGAGGGCGAGCCTCGTTGGGTTTGGTGAGGTCGAGCCTCGCCAAGCCATGGCGAGACTCGCCTTCGCCATGGCCGGTGAGGTCGACCTTGCCGGCCTCTAGCCGGTCCCCAGTCCGGCGACTGGCTAGAGAAGGGAGGGTGGGGGAGGAAAAAAAAAAGAAAAATAAAATAATAATAAATAAGTAAAATTCAAAAAAATATTAAAATATTATTGAAAGTTGTTCACGTCAGCGCCGACGACCGGCTGGCTTCCACATCAGCAAAATCAGACCAAAATTAGTCGGAATGACTGAATTGGCATAAAGACAAAAGGTTTAGAACTTAATTGACACTAAAAAAAGGTTTAGGACTCAATTGGCACAATGCAAAAGGTTTATGACTTTTTTGACACTTTTCCCTATCAAACTTGTGCGTGAAAAGAAAAGAAGAGGGAAAGTTGTGAAGAAGAGAGAGTTGTCATTATGAATACTTGTGCTATTTACAGACAACCAATCAATACATATGTTGAGAATAAATACCTTATCCCTAGCATCGCCACTTTTCATAATCAATCATCATCACTTTTCATAATTAACCACTACTTCTCTTCATGTCAACAATCACTTCTTTTTATGTGTAACTTCTTTTCATGATAACAAACTATTTCAACATATTCAAGCTTGTTTAAACTATTAGCATTGTCATCACCATTAAATTTTTTAATGGAAGAAAAACTTCGAGATAAGGTTGAACAGTTGAGGGATTGAATTGAAGAAAAAAAATCAAGGACATAACAAACAATGAAAAATAGTGGAATGGGTCTGATTGGCTTGGCATCCGGGAGGACGAAGACCTTCAGATCCTGAAGAAAAAGATGCCTTGTGCTTTGTCCTTTATCGGTCATTTATGTAGTTTCTGGGAAGATCACTTCATCATTCTTTATTGTTTACTCTAGGAAGACTGAGACGAAGACCAAAGGACGAAGACCTTCAGATCCTGAAGAAAAAGATGCCTTGTGCTTTGTCCTTTATCGGTCATTTATGTAGTTTCTGGGAAGATCATTTCATCATTCTTTATTGTTTACTCTAGGAAGACTGAGACGAAGACCAACTTCTTCGAAACAACCCCTAACCGCGTTGTTCTTCAACTTCTCCTACACGCTATTTAACTCGCAGCAACACCAGAAAAGAAATCCAACGACAAACCTTCCTGTAAACAAGTCTTTTGTTTCTCTCCCCCGAATCAGAAGTTCAACAGCAATGGAGGACGCAATGCACATAATCAATGCGGCCGAGCCAGCTACGTCTTGTTCAGAATCTAGGTACGATCTCTCTGTCTCTCTCTGTCTCTCTGTCTCTGTCTCTGTCTCTCTCTCTCTCTCTCTCATACACACATATTAAAAATTGTGATTCTGCTAGGGATGCTGTGGAATTGAAAGGTGACAGAGACGCTCAATCAGTTCTCATCAGCATAGACTCTGCTGAAATCCTCCTGGTGCGTCACGGACGAACAGATTGGAATGTTGAGAAAAGAATTCAGGTGCGGACCGATACAGACTCGATCTTCATAATCGCCTTTCCTTTAAATTACGAGTTCGTCGACAAAAGTCTTGTATATTAATGTTTCTCTTTTATGCCTTCAATTTTTAAGAAGGGGAAAAAAGAAAAAATAGAAGTTCAACCCATCGGAGTCTAATATTTCAGTTTTTCTCTCGCTTTATTTTCAATCACATAACCTACTAAGAGATAGTAGGGGTCAAAATATCTAATACGCTTGTTGCTAATCCTAGGATTGTGTGGGCTTCAAATTACTTTAGTTTGATATCAAGTTTAATTCGCATCGAGAGTTAAGAGTGGAGTCCAATGATGTAATTTATATCCCACCTTGCCTTTTTTTGTTTTGAACTCGTTCATGTCCATCATTCTACTTACCATGGAATTGTCCAATTATTAAGTTGGATAGGGCAAATACTTGTTTGGTCTCGATCTCCTATAAATTGAGATAATCATGACCATTGATCTTATGGATCACACATGGATCCACCAAATTCAATGAATGTGATTGCACCTAATTTATAGACCTCGGTCCAGTCAATTAGCTCTCTTTTGAGGAAGCTTTCCTTGGGTACTCCTGGCGTACTAACTTGTTAGCCCACTTTACATGAGCTGTTAGAATACTTGGGTCTCACATTATTTAGCAGCCCATGTGATCTAACGGCTCATATGGATTAGGCTAAGGTAGGCCGGTAATATTTAAGTATTTTCCCTTTTTGAGCAGGGTCATCTCAATGTGGAATTAAATGAAGATGGGAGGCGGCAAGCATGTGCAGTAAGTGGACTTTTCTCTCTCTCTCTATATATATATCCCTTTGAAGTTGAATGATCTAATGGGTTTCACTTTCTTCTTACTTTATTTCTCTCTTGAATCTAAAAGGTAGCTGATAGACTATCCAAAGAAGGTGAGATCTCCACAATTTACTCGTCCGACCTAAAACGAGCTATCGAGACATCAGAACTGATTGCAACTGCTTGTGGTGGAGTGAAGGTATGGATGTGTCACGATATCTTCATCTAGCATTAGGTTTGATGCCACTTACCCATCACATAAACAATATTGATGAATGCTATTCAACAATTTAAACTCATAATACGAAACCAAGCCACAATTTATGCGGCTTTAAAATTCTTTCCATACTTGTTTCAATCAGTCAAACGTTTCCTTGATAAGAAAAATTCTTCCTGATTTGAGCTGGATGTAGCTTTTTACACCTGTTTAAAAAGTTTCCTAGTGCTAAGTCTCCTTTCCAATGAATTCATACCCTCAGACTTCCATAATAAGAGTGTAAAACTGCGTTTTGTAAACTGTTTTGTCTCCCCATCCTTCGGTGCTTTGATGTAAATATCATTTGGTACTATTGCCTGCATCTGGAGCACTTTAAGACATACATATATTTCCTTGCATCCACTCAAAGAAGCATGTGAGTAACTAAGCATGCAGTTCTGTCATCTTCAATCATCGAGAAATGGATTCGACTATCACTAACTAAGAATAGGCAACACACTACTTAACAAAGTGATAAGCTTTAGAATGCTTTCGAAAGAGGTAACTTTAACGCTTTGTTAAGGTAGAAGTGGCTAAACACTTCTATGAAATTTACTGAATCTTTTCTTGAATCGAGACTAGGTTATCAAAGATTCAGATCTACGGGAACAAAATCCAGGAAAGTTGCAAGGCCTTAAGGAAAATGAGGCAGCTAAGGTCTATCCCCAGATTCATGAGGCCTATCGATCCAGCAGATGGGAACAAGAAGTCCCGGTATGAGCTCGACCAAAAAATTAAATGGTTAATTGCTCGATTATTCTCATTTAAACCTCCCTAAACTTTAATGCGTAACTACTTTCCCATGCGATTTATTTGCAAATTGAACAAGTTCCAGAATATGATGTCATGCCAGTGTAGAAGCAAATTGAACTAACTATTTTTCAGTGCCTAAATGACACTTGCAAGTGAAATGCGAGGAAAAAATTGTAGTATAATTTGTGACTTTCATATGGTTTAGAAGATGGTAGTTAGGGTTTCATCCTTTTCTGTTCCTTTCACTATGCTGGACAAAATGCGTGAGAATTTTCGTCCCTCTCTTTTGAGTTCATTAACTGGAGTCAAACTCACATAATAACCCCATTTGTTAAGAACATATCATGTGGAAGAAAAGGATATTAGATTATGGGAGAACATGAACTTCAATTTGGTTCATCAAAGGAGAATAATCTGATCAAAGGTTCGCGTTGATTGGTGCTACACGCAGGGTGGTGGTGAAAGTAAGGAACAGGTTTACCAGCGATGCACGGCTTGCTTGCGAAACATTGGCCTGAAGCACAAAGGTAAACCAATGCTATTGTGAGATTTTGTGACATCATTGCTAAACGTTCTACAAACTTAAGATGTTAGATGAAGACACGGCTTAATATCTAATTATTCTATCACTCCCCTAGATGAAGATAGGCAAATAGAGGCTTGGAAAGATTTGAACTCGGGATCTCGTACTCTGAGACTATATGAGATTTTGTGAAATCAATATCAATTGTTCTAAAAGTTTAAATTGTTAAATGAATGCATGATTAATATTTAATTATTCTATCAATTATCAAGAAATATCATCGTTAATCCATGTTGATGCCATTTTTTAATTTCATTCTGCACAATAAGATTAGAGTCGGAACCATGTAGATAGGTGGACCGCAAAACTCATTCGCAAACTACTTCGAGCTTACCCACAAATGAAATTTAACTAGACAATTGCCCGACATCAATGATTTTGCAGAAACTTCAATAAGATAATTGTTACACATAGGATAGACTTGTGGTAGCTTTTACTAATTGTTAGAGTACTGAACTATTAAACCACGTATTAATCAAACAGCTTAAAGTTTTGCAATAAACAGCAGTGGTCCCATAGACTTTAAACTAATGTTGGCTCTCCTAACCTCTGATTTCTGGATTTGTCACCACTGGCAGAAGCCTAGTAATATTTTGTGAAGTCATGGATAAATAAGATTAATATATCTATGTTGCTTATTTGCCAAAACTACACACTTAGCCACCAAATTTAAGTACACAAAGGGTAGATATCTGCCCGTCGTTTATGTCTGTCTATACAATTACACATTTACATATATATGAATGTGCATGTTTATTGACCTTCGAGCTTATGTCTGGATGCATGCATGCATGTGTGTGTGTGGGGAGAGAGAGAGCATCTTGGGTGGCTTGGAGCAAAAATTGCTACTCCAATGATTTATAAATCTGTAACTAGAGAAGTGACTACCAACACATACTTTACTTTATTAATTTTAGAGAATGATACAGGATTTTAATTAGCTTGGAAGTATCGGCAATCGAAAATGAACCTGCCCTTCACCGTGCAGGGGAACGAGTAGTTGTGGTCACTCATGGAACCATATTCAGGTGTCTTTACCGGCGGGCTCGCCCGGACGAAACTTGTTTCGGACCGAAGGTAAAGAACGGTTCCATCAGCATTTTGCACTTGTTTGGTGGGGATGACTGGGTCTTAAAGTCCTGGGGCGATGTTAGCCATCTCAACAAGATAGAAGAGAAGCTCTAGCTCTACTAGCATTTGAGATATATGGTGAGACCTAAACCAGAAGAGTCATATCGTCACTCAGCCAAAGCGTGCGAGAGACCTACTCATTAGATATTGCTTGACAATTGACAAAGACAAGCGTGTCCAGTTACTCAGGCAATAAAATTTTCCGTATTATTATAGAATATGACACCATACATTAGGTGTAATACGTTTAAGTGCTGATATCTATGTGTTGTAATTTTCAATGTGCACTTTCGCGATTGGTTGTGTTTCTACTGAAAAATGTTCTGTCTAAGCAAGCATGACCGTGTTAATGACCAACTTGGGTATCACTTTTGATATGCATAGGGTGCTTTGGAGGAAACTTACCGCTTGAACCACCACTAACCGATCACCTGTGAGCATAACAGTAGAAGTAGGGGTGAGCGGTTTCAGGTTCCGGGTAGGTTCCGCCTGGAACCTGGAACCTACCCTCGGGTACAGGTTCCTCAAAATGAGGAACCTGGAACCTACCCATCGAAACGTGGAACCTGGAACCTACCCTGTCACAGGTTCCAGGATCGGTTCCAGGTTCCAACAGGTTCTTTTTTTTTAATTTCGTTTTGAATTAAACAAAACGAAAATGAACGCAATAGTAAATCATCTGAATGATACATACACAAATGCCCTGATGTGATACTCAGGGGATATAATGCCAAGTTTACAAATGCCCGGATAGAACTAAACTATAATTGCCCAATACCAATTGAAGGGGAAAGATAGGGTAACTACCTTACTGTCGGAAAATCCTCCAACACCAGCATCAGCATTCCCAAGTCCGTTATCTTTGGCAACTCTTAAAGAATCAGTTGGCGAGTCACGGACAGTATCAGAGCTTGAACTCTGTTTCGATCTCCCTGCAGCCTGGGCCTTCTCAATAGAAAAATTTTAAGTAAGAAATCATGAAGATGGCTGAACCACTTAATTACAGTAATAGCATGAGCTACCTGGCAAAAAGCTATGACTAGTTCCTGTCTCAAAATACAAAATCGAGATCCAGGTCCAGTATAGTTTGCAACACGAGGAGTTAGTCTCATCAAGTCAAGAAGATAGTGCCTAAATCAAAACAAAAGAAGATATTTGCATAAACACGCTTGATGGCAAAAAAAGGAAAACTACAAATCCAGCAAAAACATGGACAAAATGGTTATAAAATTAAAAAAAACATACAGGACTACAAAAATCTAGTGTGACAAAAGAAAAGTAAGCTAGCAATGTACAGCATTAACATTTATGACTAGGTAGTATAACAAATAAGCAAAAACAGTTCTTGGACCTAAAGATAAGTTATAGTAATCTTCTCAGATAATTCACGGATGTGTCATCCTTCCATATAGGCTTGAGATGAAGGTAATGGACGTTGGATGAGCAGAGAGAGAGAAAGCGAGACCCATCTGTGCAACAGTGCTCTAATGCTTGGAGATATAGAGAAAAGGGTAAGTAAATGTATATCAGACACTTCCTTACTTACTATGCTCATATCACACTCATAACTTCCATGTATCTCTTGCCTCAATAATATGATCATATTTGACGTTTTGTTGTCTTCTACACATCTAACAATTCCCAAGCCAATGCAAACCCATAGAAAGCTCCAAAGGAGTTGACTTGCTATGGGATTTCAATCTCGGCACATTACAGTAAATATTTATAGTTAGAGGTTCAGAGGCCACCAAAACACATTTATACAACTTTACGCCAAGAGCAGCATTATGGAGTCAATACAAGAGAAGAGACGCAGTGTTGATAGAAACCCAAAGAATTATACTGAGACAAACATACTCTTTTAGCAAAAGCCACTAAAGTAGTTGGAATTGCAGATATTAACGACATAAACACAGAGTGTCAATTATATGCAGCATCAATCAGTGATCAGATAAACCATTGTCATCAAACCTTAGGAAAGCTCACAGGCAGCAAAGAGTAAGAAAGACCACTCAAAATTATTATACCTGAACCAGCTAGAATAAAAAGACAAGAGCATCATTGTTGATTTAGATAGAGGAGAGAATGTTATACATGTGCAATCACCTTTAGCACTGGGAAATTCTTTCCATCTTTGATATAGTAGTCCCTTATCGATACCATATTTGTGCCGTTATAATCTTGACGAGTCACATACCTCCTATCTGAAAGCTACACCAACATCAAATGATGATTTAAAAGTTGTTGATGTGGCTTATCTAATCACAGAATGCAGAATAATCAGTCAACCACAAGAGGAATATAATGAAAATGTCAGTAGTCAGTACCAATTGTTTTACTGGCAACGCAAGTAGAGCATTTAGAGGTTCTAGAGCTAAGTCCCAATTGCCAACCAAGGAAAACCATGAAAAATCCAAGGAGAGACATTACCCACCAAGTGAGAATCTAAAATGTTAGATTTACAACTGCCTTTTGCACTTATCTATTACTGCCAAGTGAGAATCTACAACATTGGATTTAGTACTGCCGATTGCACTTTGTCTTCTCCTCACCAATCTTATTCAGGTGTTACTTGCAGCCACAGGGCTTCTAGAGTAAGGATTCCTCTTTCATGCTCCCTAAGTTAGCCTCAGCAAACTAGACAGCTACAATTCAAATTTGCCTATAATCCCATTTTCTTCAGCTAACAAAGAGACTGCATCTGATAAAGCTTTTGCAGAACTATCATCTTCGCCTTTTTGACTATCCAGTACAAGAGATGCTTGTGCGTGCGCAATCCGAACCTCAAAGAAATACATATTGGCACCTCTTCGCAAACCCAGACAGCCAGGGCTTTCGAACACAATTTATGCAGTCTCGCCATGAATTAGCAGACAAAAACTAAGTGACGACCAAGAAGTTCACTTTCTCTACAATGCAATAGGGTTTCACTTTCAACCTCACAAATGACGCGTCCTCCACTTTCGCTGAGCTCCATCTTCACTTCCCTCGCAAGTGCTTCCGCGGCGACCTCGCCGGCGCTTCTGCGGCGACCTCGCCGGCCTCTCCTCGGACATCAGGTTGGCCGCCCTTGGCCCTGTCCTCGCCGGCAGCGTCGAAGAGGAGGAACGACTCCAGGACGCTTCGCACCAACTTCTTGCTGTCCATATCGCTGGCAATCTCGCGCGGCGCGTTCTAGCGAGCGAGCGAGCGAGACGGACGGCTGGAATTGCACCTCCGAGGAGAGACGGTGGGAGCCCGCCGGAACCCTAGCGGAGCGCGAGAAATGCAGAAATGCTCGCGGGTGGAAGTGAAACTGAAGGGAAAGAAAGGACCAAATAATAATTGTAACCTATTTTAGGGATCCCGGTTCCGGTTCCGGTTCGGTTTCTATAGGAACTGGGAACGGGAACGGGAACCGGAACCGGAACCGGAACCGCCGGTTCCTAAAAATGGGGAACTGGGAACCGGATCCTCTCTTCATGGAACCGGGAACCGAACCGGACCCACCGGTTCGGTTTTGCGGTTCTCGGTTCTACCCGGGAACTGCGCTCACCCCTAAGTAGAAGCGAGTTCGAAAGAGTTTAACATCCTCGTGTTGAAAATAAGAGTTATCATCTCCTCGCAAAGCGGCCGTTAACTTTCTTGTAAATCACCTTCAAAGGGTTTAATCTTGAGATCCTTCATTCCCTGCACATGAAGATCTAATTCCTTCTTAAAGTTAATTCATTTTGCCCCCGTCAATGCAATTAGAAAATGGGCACAAGCATCCCAAGTAATTTAGTTTAGTCTCATGGTTCTTTCTTATCCGCAAGTGCATTTTGTAGGGAGTTTTAGTTTTGGGCTTGTCTACTGGCAAGAACTTATTGTATCCATTGTTTGGGTTCATGATATATTAAAAGCTGCAGTCTGCTACTTGGTCTGGAGCATTGAGCCCATAAAGGATGAGCTGCCACAACATGAGTGTTCTTAGCTCCATTGATTTTTGGAATCTATTAATATTCTTGGTTTTAATTTATATTAGCAACGAACATGATACTGCAGTTTACCCACCTGCGCATGGCCAAGTTGGTGGGCGCTTTCCTTCCCTCCTTAGAGGTTCTGGGTTCGAATCCCCGCTCGGTTCCATAATTTAAGTTGGGGCCCCTGGCGGTGGGTTGCTGGACTAGTCTCCCCCGAGATATAGGCGCCCCGATTACCTGTGCGGGCTCGTCCCCGGGGAATGGTGGCAGATCCTCGGTTATAAAAAAAAAAAATGATACTGCAGTGGTGAATTTGGGCTCTGTATTTGTGGGATCATTTGACTCTTCTTTCAATGATTCCTTTTAAGGCATGCTAAATGTAGGTAGCCTCCAATTTGTTTTTCTTTTTTTAATTCACAAAAGATAACATGGGGAAATAATAGACATGAGAAATAATTTGAACTAGAAAAAGGACCGAAAGTCATGGTGGGGAAGTAAATTAATCCATTGATCTCAGCTAGTGGCACATCAAAACCTACAATAGTGAACTTTTCATTAGAATTTTTAATATTCACTGGCTGCTATTCTTTATGTGGAAGATGAATTTAAGATGTTACTATATTTAAGGATAAGATGATTTCGGTTGATATAATATAGTACATCCCTCTGATTGTGTAACAATGATCGCCCTTCACCTGTTCATAGACTCGATGGCACATTATCAGGGGGTCGAGAGCGCACGAGTGTAATACACACGCCCGATCGTCGAGTTTGCGTAATCTGATATACCAAGAAAAGATTATGAGAGTACACGTTATGGAATCATTTTTCAGTCAATCTTATAAAGTAATTGCTCAAATAAAAAGGAGTTTTGGCTCAAACGACAACAATCGACGTGGATGAGAGAAAATAGAACGATGGCCGGAGGGGATTTTGGCGCCAAACATGGATGAGAGAACTCATCATCGCCTTGCTGTGTCGCCATCATTCTAATCCAGAGTCAAACCGGCCGGTTTTGTGTGGCAAAAAGTGCCATGATAATGTCAATGTAAATTCATGTATTTGCATTTGAGATCCAGACAATTTGGGGCACTGAGTGCTCGAACTCATGTTGTTAGTAAAAAAGGCCTTGTTTTGGAAAGTTAAAAGCGGGAAAAGTGTCAAAAAAAGTCATAAACCTATTATATCGGTGCCAATTTAGTCCTCAACCTTTTTTCGGTACTAATTTAGTCATAAATCTTTTGTCGTTGTACCAATTTAGTCCTAAACATTTTATCATTGTGACAATTCAATCCTTCAAGCTAATTTTGGCCAAATATTGCTGATGTAGATGCTAGCCAACCTACGCGGCACCGCCAATGCTGGCATGGACAATTTTAATAATTTTTTTTATTTTTTTTATTTTTTCTTTCTTCTTCCTTTTGTCGGTGACCAGCCACCAGCCATGGCCAAGCGGGCAGGCTAGCCTCGCTCGGGCATGGGCCACCGAGGCTCGATGAGGGTCGACCTCACCCAGGCCAGATTTGGCGAGGCCAACCTTCACGCGGGCGAGGCTACCTTGGCCTAGGCGAGGGCCGACCTTGTTGGGGCTCGCCCTTGCCTAGCTGGCGGCGACCCTCACCCGGGCAAGGCCAGCCCACCTGGCCATGGTCAATGGCCAGTCACTGGGAAAAGGAAAAAGAAAGAAAAAAAAGAAAAGAAAGAAAGAATCAGAAAAATAAAAAAAAATCAAAAAATATTAAAATATTATTTACAATTGTCCACGTCAGTACCAGTGGTGCCACGTAGGCCAGAAGGCATCCACGTCAGCAATATCCGACCAAAATTAGCTTGAATGACTGAATTGACACTATATCGAAAGGTTTAGAACTAAATTGGCACAAATACAATAAGTTTAGGACTTTTCTAACACTTTTCCAGTTAAAAGTTGAGGGAAACATGAAAAATGTCATTCGATAAGGCTGACCGAAAATGAGATAGTTTTCATTTCATGGTACAAGCATAGTTTTGTGCGAAGTTTGATCGAAGACGTTTGCCGTTTCGATGAAAAACATATGCATTTGATTGATTTCATTCCCAAAGTTATTCATCCAAAATGCACATGACAATTCTAAGATCATTTTGTGTTCGACTGTGTCTATAAATAATAGAAATTCAAAATATAAATACTAAAGACACCCTCCTCTGTTCAAAATATATATTCCTTTTATTTGAGCCTTCTAGCTCCGGCGGTTACTCCTCACCTTCATCAGACAAGATGTGGTTACATGTAGGAGTGGGTAGATCTAATCCCGAAATTGGTACTCTAAAGGCGAAGTCAAATTTGGCACGGTATGCTTTAAACTGCAAAAGCTTATAGTATGGACTAGCAGCAAGATAAAGAGATAAAATATAAGACCTTTAATCAAACAAATTGTGAAACCTGATCCTTTACTTAGATTCATGCAATTTCCTTTTCTTTTGGATCTGGTGAAGTGTCATGTCTAAGTTGAATTAGGAAAAGAAAAGGAGATAAATCATGAATGAGATGCAGATAGTCTTTAGGAGCAATTATGGCCGGAGGGATTGGGTGGGTGGCAAGATGATGATGGTGGCCTTGTAAGGAGAAGTTTATTCTTGCATGCACCTGATTTATGAAAATTCAATGCTTATCACGAGCCGTCACAATTTACTCCTTCGCGGGTGTAATCGAATTTATTAATGATTTGATTGCACCGAACTCTTATGAGTTGGGTGCATGTACTATTGAGATGGTCTCGTCAACGTCATGAAATTTATGGAAATGCTAGTTATAGGTCATGACTTCAATGAAATGTATCAAGTCATTAATCAACAAAATCCCGATTCAATTTATTGCTCGACATGTCGTTGGAGAACTTGGCAAACATTAAACCTGAGGAGAAGACTCTCGAGATTGCCATGGAAGCCCATAAAAGGAGGAAAAATATAAATCATCTCGATGGATACATGCGAAAGACAAAGAGACTCTTGTGTGGAGAATTCACTGTATCAATTCCCAAAGGCAAAAGGCAAATTGCAATTGCATCACATGTGAGATCATTGGGTGACGCCGAAATGATAAATACAAGCAGTAATTTCAAAATGCAATTGACAAGATCATTGTTGCACTCCTTAAGGATATTGGCAGCTTCCTTGATGTCGGAGAGCCGCTCTGGCTCTCCTCCGTGAAGTTGGAGGTCTTGGCAAGGACGCGCTTCGTGTAGCCCAGGCGGAGGCCTCCATGATGTGCCACCGAGGGGATTTTGGCATGGTGAGGATCCCGATGGCGAGTAGGACTGAGGAGATTGCTCCCATGCCGAGCATAACATGCCACCCAAGGTTGCGGTGGAACTTGGAGAAGGCATAATTGGAGATGTAGCCGAGGACGGTGCCACCGTTGATGAACACCTCAACCGCCGAAATGACGTATAAAAAAGCAATCACCTTTTTAACTTTAATATTTTCCATGACAAGAAGAATGCAGTCAAACATGAAAAAGACAAAAATTGATGACAAATAAATAAATGAAAAAGATGCTACAAAATTTTAAAATAAAAAAGAAGAAAAGAAAACAAGTGAAGGACCTCAAAGATGGAGGTGAGGGAGTCCGGGGAAGGTAGGGGAGACCTTAGCAATGTAGACAGGGGTGATCATGAGAGAGTGGCCGACGCCGACGTGGGCAACAAAGCGGTCCAACAGGAGGAAGGCATTGTTGGGGGCGAAGCCCATGAGGAGGGGTCTGGCGAAGACAATGGCCCCCGCCACCATGATCGTGTAGAGGCGGCCAATCCAGTCAAAGGTTCACCCTGCCATTGTCAACCCGAGGAGCAAGAACACGTTGAGGATCCCCATCAGGACCTCAACTTGCATGTCAGTTTTCCTCTTGTCATTCTTTATGTGTGCCGTCGCCTTGCTCATCACTCCTATGTCTGCCAAAATTTTAAAAAAAATAAGAAAATCTTATTTATAATTACAATGTTCCACATAAATCACAACCATATACAAGAAATTGAAAAAATAAAAACCATCCCATGCCTTTTCCTCCCTTTTTCTTTAAATTTTTTTCCCAATATATATGGTTATAAGATAAGAATAACAAGAAATAATAAATGGAGCGGACTTTATTCGAAATTTACTTGTTGGCTAAAAAAAAGAAAAAAATGGATGATATTATCCCAAATTAAGTAATATCTTTTTCTTGTTTTTTTTCATTTCATATGCATTAAAAAAATGACCTTTGGCTATAGATCTATCATGTTTATCAATTATAAAGCTGTACAAAAAAAAAGTGCAATGACTAAGATATAACCTAATTATTATTTTTTTTCAACAGAACTAAGTTGCAAGAAATTGATTCATTGTATTGAAAATTGATCCGCGGAGATATATTTCTAAACTTTATGGACAACCATAGGGTGAGTCTTCCAATGCTTCACAACATCTGACACATTGCTAGAGAGAAGACTGACCATAATCGAGCAAAATGGAGGTCATAGAGGCCGTGGTGAAGGCATACTTGTTCTGGTGCGGCTTCTTTGGAGGATCAAATTCCTCGATCGACTTCACTTGGACATTGTCGCGACCTACCCCCGTCCCGATCGGGTTTAGGCTAAGAGGTATTTGTCGATGGATGTGAACAACGATTGATTCATTTGAAAGACAAACCAAATGGTTCATTAATCCAAAGACCGAGGCACTCCCAAGCCTCACACCTTGAGCGACGAGAATTTTTTTTAATTTACGTATTTGATTAGAGTCGCCACTAGCCATGATCAAAGGTCGGCTAGAAACCCTGATCGAGACGCGGGAGTGTCGTCTCGACACGCGCGAAAATCAGAGATTCTAAAATTCGGAGGCTTGATTACACTAGCGATTTAACTAGTGCCCTTTCGGTACCTAAACTTGAATTTTCGCAAACTAACGTACTGGGCAGCCTATCGAAAAAACTAAGATTCCACCTAACCGTTCTAAAAATAGAAAATAACAATCAATGTATTAAAAGTGCGTAACCAGATAATCATGAAGAAAATAAACAACCAGCGACCTAGCATCGTCTCTAAAAAGAAAATGCAATCAAAAGTCATAAGGTAAAGCCTAATGGCTTATCCGATTTTTGAGAATTTTTTAGAGGGTTTTTCTCATTTTTCATTTTGTTTGAGTTTTTTAACCTAAAATCTAGTGAAATTAAGCCCAAAACTGATTTCTGAACATTTCCTAATTTTCTGATTTTTTGGGGAATTTTTCCGAATTTTTCTGAATTTTTTTATTTTTTTTAATTTTCTGAATTTTTTAATATTTTTTAAAGATTTTTTTAATTGATTTTTTTGGGATTTTTAAACATTTTCGATTTTTTTGGAATTTTTAATATTTTTAAAATGTTTTTGAAAATTTTAAATTTTTGAAAATTTTTATTAATAAAATAAAGATTCCGGACCGGGTATCCTGACCCGATCCGCCCGACTGCCCGACCCGGGTTACCAACCCACCCGAGTTTTCAAATTTTGATTTTTTTTTTCTATTTTTTCCTTCTCTTTTCTTTTTTCTCTCTTTTCCTTTTCTTTTCTCTTTTTTTTTTTCTTCTTCATCCCCTCCTTCGTGCTTTTCCCAGAACTCCCCTCTTCTTCAATGGCCCTCTTCACCGAGAATGTCTTTGCCAAGGCCCACGCCGGGGTTTTGTCGGGGACACCCACCGTCGGCCGTCGGCTCGGGCCACGAGCGACCGCCAGTGCCGGCCAACGCTCCGGCAACCACACCGGCGGCTAAAACCGGCCACAACTCCCCGCCAACGAGCCAAAACTCCCTTTCCAATCAACCAACTTTAAGCCCCAAAGACAGAAACTAAGCCTAAATAAACAGGCATACATGCACAAACCAAGGCCTAGAATATTGAAACGGTGGGACTCCAACCCAAGGAAATACCAGAAGCAAATAGCGGCTCCGATTTGTACGCTCATCCATGGCCGATGTGGACAAACGACAGAGTGTGTCATGAAAATCGAAGGAAAGCACAAAGTTAGTCACTATTCAGCATACATGGGCACTAATAGAGCATGAAAAACCGAGTTCTAAGCATCAGTGTGGTAAAAGGCCATTTTGGTCTCCATTTAGGCATTTCGTTGAACATGTGAGGGGCGTTTGAAAAACGGGGTCACAGATCCAATTTTGACGAAGTTTACAGTTGATTTTCAACATATAACATCTATACCATCCTCACTGGGCGTCAAACAAATGTTTGCCTCGGTCGACGGGGCTGGGCAACCACCGAATAGGCTCGGTGTGCCCGGAACCCGAGAGGAAGGGGAAGCAAAAACAGGGGAAGAAAAGGATGCAAAACCCATCTGGTTCGGGGCTGACTGAAGAGAGGCGAGACAACTGGGGGCTCGGTGGCGGCTCAGGCGACGTTCCAGCGAGTGGGTGAGAGTCGGATCTCTCCAATTCCCCTCAACTCTCAGTCGATCTCCTCTTTCTCCCCTCTAACTCTCTCTCTGTTCTTGGCTCGCCAACACCAAACGCGATGGCCGGGGGGATGGACGTCCGGCGACGGTGACGGCTCACTGGGAGGGGGAAGAGACTTGCCGGCCACCCTCCTAAGGAGGAACCAGAGCGCTCTCCTCTTAGACCCCTCCCTTTCTCTCCTCTCAAAAACTCTCTCGGACGCTCTATGTTCTCTCCCTTCTCTCTCTGATTCCTCCCCTGTTCACCGAGCTCTCTTCCTCCTTTTAACGCCGAGAGAGGAGAGGATAGCTCGGGACCACGGCTATGCCTTTAGCCTCTGCTCCCTCGGCGTCGTGCGGCATCTGCACTGCGCGTCGACGTTCCGTTTTGTTCTGTGCCCGCCGCTCTCCTCTGCTTCGTTGCAGAGGGAAAAGGAGAAAAGAGACAGGAGGTGGGCCGGGCCAGGCCAAAGGTGAGCAGAGTTGGGCTAGCCCATGTGAAGAAAGGGAGAACGGCCCGGCCGGGCTGATTTGGTACGGTCAAACCGGGTCGGACTGGCCCAGATTTTTTTTTAACAAGAAAAACATGTCTAATGAACCCTATTAATGCAAATGCACCTAATGTCTATATGCTATGCAATTTAATGAAAATATTTGTGTTTATGTATTAAAATTAACCCCCTAATTTTATATGTAAATGACTTAGAACGAACAAGCAAAAATTAGATGTCAATAGCTGTCTTTCTTTGAAGGGGAGCTCGAAGAGGTTCCTCTAAAAAAAAAAAGAGATTTCTAAATTTTGCTAATGGAGAGCATGGAATGGCACGATGGCTAAGACATGAGGGGTGATTGGATTTTTTTTTTAAGGAAAAATAAATAAATAAATAAATAAAATAAAATAAAATAAAAATATGCCTAGGGGCTACAACCCTATGAACGTCAACGGTTCCGCATCGGGACTAAAGCCCTATGAACAGCAAAGGGGATAAAACCCTGAAAGTACGTTTAGGGGTTAAAACCCTATGAACGGCAAATGGGATAAAATCCTAAAAGTACGTCTAGGGATTAAAACCCTATGAACGGCAATAAGAATAGAACCTTGAAGGAACGCCTAAGGTTTCTCGCACAGGGCTTGATGGGCCTAAAGCTTTTCACTTGAGACTTGATGTTGTACAAAGCATGGTTTAAGGACAGACCCATGAACCTTTTGAAATCGAGGTTTCACGTGAGGAGACCTGTCATGCAAGAATAGTCTCTAGCTGCTAATGCTCACCATGTTAGCCAAATTTTGAGGACATTCCGAGGAGGCACCTGCACATCTAACGTAACGTGTTATAACAAGTGCCTTGGTAGCGAAGGCGTACGAGGCAAATTCATAGAGAACATCATTACTGAGAAAGTGTTTATTGCAATGAGCAAATCAAACTAACTTCAATTATTTGGAAAACATTTGGCATCATTGAACCTCACGCAATTGCCATCGGATTTGAAAAAATATCATCAATTCTCAAATTTCCTTGGGAGACAAATCTTTGTCAAAATGATCTTGACTCATGAAACTGGCTAATCAATTATGCCAAACAAGAGCTCATCAGTCAAAAGGGACTTCTTACATGCTCTCGAGAAGGCAGTTTGATCTCATCTATTAATGTGGGAAGTAAACATGATCTCTCTGTATACCTCACACTACCAGTGTTGAAGGCTTCGAGAATCATTCGCGATAAGTACGTATTGATCAATCCAAGAGGTCTTTTAAAGGACCGTAAAGTAGGTTTGATCATGGTTCCAACAAAGGATAAACATTATAGCCAGGAAATGGAATGATTGTCGATCTGCATCTCTGCCAGGGTTACAAGTCAAGAAACCTTAAGATGAGATAAGATAACCTTGCCCCCACTTTTTCGAGCAGTAGCTTCTTTAGGAAATCCATATTTTCACTCGAATCATCCTAATCAGAAGAGACTTCGGAAAAGGTTGTAATGTTGGTTTGGGTAAAGGTTTGAAAGGCTCAAAAATTTTCAAAAGGGATTTAAGAGCTGGTGATTATCATGGCATCATTACCATATCATCCGATCTTTTCGAATGTACTTGACTTTGAAATTTAATTTGTCTCAAAAGTTCATTGGCCAATCATTTCAACATAAGAACTTCGCTCTTTTCTCTAATGACTTTTGCATTTGCAATGATTTTCTTTTCTTCATGCAAGCATTTCACTTTTGACTTTTTTTTTTTACGAAAGAATTCTCCTCTCGATGCTCTTTTTTTTTTTGAGCTCTTTGAACTTTCAAGACATTCTTTACATTGTCACATAAGCACTATTTTCTTAGGTAAATCATGTGTCTTGCCCCAGTGTGGGGAGATAATCACCACTCGGACTTTTGAAACGAATATTCAGGCTCAACTTGGCTGAACAATGGGTATAAGTGTTTGGGTAGAGAAATGAATGCTTTTCTTCATTTCGGGATGTTTCAAGCTTCCATAAGAACTCACCTGAAGTTACTACAAAGAGATTGATGCGAGTGAGAGTAAAGAAATATTTCTCATCTTTTCCTCCAAGGAATGTCAACCAAAACAACTAAGTTTGCCCCATTGTGGGGTGGTTCTTGACAGGGTATTTTGTAGAAATTCTTCAAATGTGAAGGCTCAAATGGGCTTAACTATGATCACATGTAGTGTCAAGGATATAAGAAGAAAATGCCTCTTTTCATTTCGGTATGTGTACTAATCGCAAATGAATCTCTCGTCCTTAAACAACACGAGTTTCTCTTTTTCGCTCCTCTCAAAGTGTTTACAAGGCATATTTGGGAATGGCTTGCCCTTCCTCATCCTAAGTGTTTCTCACTTGGCATGATTAACATCTTCCTTTCATTTCATTGAGATCATCATGAATTGATCAATCTCTACAGGGAATTTTAATTCAAAATGAATGATTCATCAAGCATAAAGGCAATTTTTAGATGAAACGACATTCCAAACATTTGCATAAATTTTGCTCTTTCAATTCCCACTTCAGCGCTTGTTGTTTCTCAAAAACATCAAAAACTTTTCCTTTGCGATGAAAATTCTCCATTTGACTTCCCTTTGATTTTAGGAAAAAGGATACTTACTTGCGGTAGGTCGACTTGGTAACCCTGC